ATCTATTTTCCTATTGTTTGAGATGAACAAAAAAAATCCCATTTGATGCGGACTTTATGTGTGACACTGTATATACGATCAAACTCCAAAATGCATTAGCCCTGATGCATTATGGAGTAGGTACCAGGCAGAATTCTTATTGAATTTTTCATTTATCCGTTAAATGATTTTTAATAATAATTCAAGATGCAAATTAATGTCTCGAATATCAATTTGATTATCTTATTCTCAAACATTTCAAAGGTAAATCATCAAGGCTTTAAAATACTCACATGTTGGTGCCCTCCTATCACAGGAACTAAATTTTTCATAGTCATTACCGTGTAATACGCTAAATCTGATTTCAGCTCCGGCAACTGATTCAACATATTTGTAAACAAAATTGCAAACGATTCGGCATGAACTATAAAAGAACTTTGAGCTACTTCTGTCATGATTGATAGGGTATACATTCCCAGCTGAAAATAATAATAAATTGGATAAATTAAGCCCGGTTCCAAATAAGGCCTATACCCACTTAATCACAAACCATTTCCCAAAGAGATTATTACCATAAAATTAAAACAAAACTGGAAACTATTGTTGCAAATGAAGATAATACAAAAACTATTAAATTTATAAATAACAAGCCAACAATTGTCGGTAAAAATAGTATTCAATTAAAAAAAAACTTGTAAGAAATCCTGATTTACTTTCTTATTAGTCAGTGGCTATGCTTGAAGACTGGNCTCAAGTCAGTTGTTTATAAAACTCAACCTGCGTCACTTGGGGAATTGCGAGAAAGAATTACGCAAGCATGTCGCGCCATTACTAGAACAACATTTGCCAAAGTTTGTGCAGAATTTGAAAATAGGCTGTATTATTGTTTACAAAACAACGGAACCACTTTGAACATTTACTTAAAATAAATTTGGAGTTCAACAAAAACCTCATTAAATATTCCATTCAAGCCAAAGTTTCACAATTATTGCTTCACCCTATACAATTATTATTTATACCATTGGATAGCATTTTTTATAGTATTTTCAATGATGTATCGCAAGTAGGGGTTTGCAATTTAAACTTTTTGTGTTTTGGTGGGCGGGGCCTAGGGGGTTGATAGGGGCGAGTTCTCTTTCATGTCACGTTAGTTCCCCCTTACTATCCTAGAAATGGTTTCAAGTATTTTTCGATGTCAGCCTTCGTTCGTGAGATATAGCCCATTTTAAGTTTTAAAATTGACACACTGTATAGTGTTTGAACTTTGCCCTATCATATGAACCAAGATACACTACAGCATTAGAGAGTTGAATGTAAAAGTCCTTTAAAACTTCTTGCTCACTTCAACAAATATTAGGTAACCTTGAAGATAAGATGTTGGAAAATGAAAAACCGTGAGTATATGAAATAAGCTGTGAGGAGTGTAACAAAAAGTATATCGGTCAGACTAAGTGAGCTATCAAAACTCGTAGACCTGAAAAATCTAGTATCGCTTAACACGCCTTAGAGAATGGCCCTACAATAAATGAAAACTGTCTGAAATGGGGAATGTTTCTCAATTTGGGTTATTACAGCAAATGCAAGTTTGAACAAAATAAAGCTGAGTTCAATTCATGAGTTTTTCAAATTCACTTCGAAAAGTATTCAAATTGATGTTTCAAATGTTGGGTTTTAATTTTTAAAGGGATTTGTTTCTAATTCA